CAAAGAGATATTCTTTATAAAAGTTAAGAGTCAGCCACACCTACCTAAAACGGCTCGTTCTAACACGCCCCCACATACCTACGTCACTATTTGGGCGGCGTTATGCAACTCTTCCCAGATAGTGACGTAGGTATGTGGGGTGTGTTAGAACGAGCCGTTTTAGGTAGGCGTGGTTGACTCTTAACTTTTATAAAGAATATCTCTTTGGATTTGAGACTTTAGTTTTTGCAACTTTACAGATCTTCTTTATGCACCAAGAGCTTGTAACACTCCAAAGAGAAAGGAAAAATTGAAATCGCATCATATGACCCCTTTAATAAAATGTTATAAATAATTAAAAGCTTATTTATCAAAAACAATGAAAGGAAGTCTTTTTATTTAACTTTGTTTAGAATTTTAAATTAGTTCAAAATGTAATTTATTATCAAGTGAGTACATATCAGCAGCTCACCCTTCGACATTACTGTCACAGACACAGTCACATGACCGAAATGAATAGAGGAGGGAAAGGGGCGCAGAACAGAAAAAGTCAAAGGGAAATAAATCAATGCATTAAAATAAAGTGAACAAACTGAGATTGTTTTTCTAGCTAATCAAGGTCTTACTAGGTATACTTGAAACTTCCAGGCAGGTGTGTTGAGGCAAGTTGGAGCTAAACTCTGCAGGACACCGGCCCTCCAGGACTGAGTTTGGTGACCCCTGCTGTAAGCCATTAAGTCAATCAACATAGTTGTTGCTTGAGAGGGCAGTGATTAACCATATCAGTTTATTTTCCATTTAAAAATGATCTTGCATGCCTTTCAGCAAATGTGCAGTTGTGCCCCTGAACAACACAGGACAGAATCCGTTCACTTTTATATATATCTATGTTTCCTCCTAAATTTTTTTTGCAATATAATAAATAGCTTTCCTGTAATGCGACCATTTTTTCCCCATTTTTAAATCATTCCTACAATCCAAAACACTATATAATAACTTATATGGAAGATTATATAGGAGAGAGGGAGATCCCCAGGGAACTGGTGGTAAAACAGACAAATCTCTGTCACAACAGCCAAGACATTTCTTCGTTCATCAAGTTTGTCGCCCATTCACTTACTGTATCTTTTAGAATAATATGCGACCCACTGGCCTAATGATAGAGTCTTACAGAGTGGCAGAATGTGTTTTATGTGTAAAAAAATAAAAAATCAGTGAATATGTTCAATTTATATGCATTGTGCGTTTCCAAATGCATATTGTTTCTATGGCTCCTGATCAATAATAATAGAAAACACATATTTATTTATTTATTTATTTATTTTTTGCTCTGCTCTGATGCCATCTAGTGTCAGATTGATGTCTGTTCGCATGCCTGAGAAGTTTTGTGTCTCTGTACTTCACATCCAGACCTTTGTAGGGCACAAAAATAGTGACCTTTTTTTTTTTTTTTGCTTTTGCTGCTGTATTTATATCTTTTCCAACACTGCACTTTATACAACCAGCTGTGTGGACCATTTAAAAACCCTGATTAACTTACCAAAAGCTGAACATCAGCACACATGCTACAGCTTAAAGACACAATCAAAAATCAATCCGTATAAAGTCAGCAAATATCCACACTTTGACAGTTAGACATTTCATATAAATTTGAAAATTTATTTTGCAATTCGTTTTGCATGCCCGAGCAGGTCTGACTTTTTGGTTTACTTCAGTGTTAACGTGTCAAAGTCAGTAGATTTTAAGACATCCTGGCTACAATCTGACTACAGTCGATCAGCAAATGTCATTGTAGTTTTTGTTTACAGTAGATTACAATGCAATTGCAAATATGTACCACAATTGCAGCTCTATTTATTTCATTTATAGGCATCCTTCTGCTTGTCATCAACACTGAAGACATCAAAGGACCAGTACAGCTCATGGTAATGACACTTTTGTTGTTCATAAGTGAAACATCTGACGAAGATGACACAAGACTGTCCAGACAGAGAATTTTTGATTAGATTTGATTATAGAAAAAAATCTTTATCTGGTAAGATGAAGATGAATCTCTTTCGGGCATGTGGCAGGCAGCCATTGAATGTCAACTGCCAACTTTAATGACAGTCCAACTTGTTGCTTCTGAATAATGATTGCTGTTGCTCCTGCCATAAATAGATCAGAAACATTAAATAGATTCTTGTGAAAGCTCTTATTAAATAAGAAGAAAAATCTAATTGATTTGAAAGAACAGTTGACTTAAAGACAAGTTATATTTTCATGCATTTATTATTTAGTCATTAAATATGAGTGCCATCTCTAATTACACAGTGAAACGTTTTTGAATAGTTTTTTAGCCTAGCTTCAGTTTTGGCTTCTGTTTTGTTTGTTTTTAGTATGGAATAGAATAGTCCTGGATGCTGGATCCTCTCATACTTCTATGTTCATCTACAAATGGCCAGCAGACTAGCAGAACGGTACCGGCATAGTCAGTCAACACAGCGAGTGTCATGCCAAAGGTGAGTAGATAGTAGATAGATGCTTTATTTGACATTTCTATATGTCACATAGAAACGAAATTGTGTTTCACACGTCCACAGCTTGCAGTTCAGTGCATTATAAAAACAGATATTTCAGTAAAAAAACAAAAAAAACATTTCTAGTAAATTTTAGTAAAATTATTTAAAGTACTCTGAATGTGTTAAAAAAAAGTAACCACAATAAAGTCACGAACTCTGATTTAGCAGCCTGATTGCTGTAGGAAGAAAGCTATTTAACTGCCAAGTTGTTCTGGTTTTTATGCTGCAGTAACTTTTTCCTGACTGCATCAATGTAAACAATCCATAAAATGGATGTGTGCAGTCCTTCAGGATGCCACCAGCTCTCCGCACATAGCGCTCTGTGTAGATGTCCTGTAGCAGTGGCAATGAGACACCAATAATTTTCTCGGCTGTTCTCACAATCTGGCTGAGATTGTGTCTCTCCTCCACTGTACAGCTGCCGAACCAGGACGGGATAGAGTAGGTTAGCAGGCTCTCAACTGTCCCTCTGTAAAACAGGGTCATGGCTGGGATGGAAAGTTCCACCTTCTTCAGTCTGCGAAGAAAGTGAAGGCATTGTTGGGCCTTCTTGATGACAGCTGAAGTGTTGTCTCTGGTAGTCAGCTTGTCTGTCAGATGGATCCCCAGAAACTTGGTGCTTTGGATCCTCTCCACCACAGAGCTGTTTATGGTTAGAGGGCGATGGTGATGTTGGCTAACCCTCCTGAAGTCTATGACCATCTCCTTTGTCTTGTTGGTATTGAGGGCCAAGTTGTGCATAGTGCACCAGACTGTGAGTTTCTCCACCTCTTTCCTGTATGCCAACTCATCATTATTGGTAATAAGGCCGACAAAAATGGTATCATCTGCGAACTTGATGACATGGTTGCTGTTAAAACTGGCAGTACAGTCATATGTCAGCAGCGTGAACAATAAAGGACTCAGAACACACCCTTGTGGCGTACCTGTGCTCACAGTTATTGTTTTATATGTTAAACTGCCAACTCTGACTGTCTGTCGTTTCTCTGTCAGAATGTTCACCACTCCTGAATCCAGACCGCAGCAACAACTTTTCCACCAGTTGTTGAAGCAAGATTCTATTAAATGCTGAGCTGAAGTCAATTAGTAAGATCCTGGCGTAGGTGTTCTTGTTCTCCAGGTGTGTCAGTGTGAGGTGGAGCAGGGTGGAGATAGCGTCCTCAGTAGAGCGGTTCGCTCTATAGTAAGTATGACAAATAGTGTGAGATCACTAACATCTGTGTATAATTCTATATAATTCAGAACACAATTTTCATTTAAATCCTTTTTAGGGAAAGTGACTCAGATATTGCAGAATTCAAAGAATAAATTCAGACATTTAACTTTAATATAATTCCCTCCCCAATACTGAATTTGTTCTTGCCTTTTGTCTCATTGTTATGCTTCTGTTATTATCATTTGGACATGGCTCCAGGTCAACACATCTGCATGAATGTAAATGAGATTATAGACAAAGCCTTTTTATAATATACCAGCTTGCACTGTGTCTTTGCCCCATTTTCTTTTTCTTTCCATTGATTTCCTGACAACTTTCTACTTTCCTACGAAAGTGTCAAAAAATAAAATAAATAAATAAATAAATACATACATACTGTACAAAATAATATTTAGCTCAGTTTTACACTTAGCATTCAGTTACATTTTCAAACTACCTTTTTATTTATTTTCCCTCTCTTTTACACAGGTCTCCAGTTATGCAGGTAACAGAGGAGGAGCAGCTCGTAGTCTTTTTTCTCAAATATTTTTTATATTTATAACTTTTCTCAATGTCCACTGTTACAATAACAATAAATTGTACAACAATGCTGTTTCACATCACATGTTTATACAAGATTGTGCTGAGTGGAATGCTACACAATGAATCATAGATAACAAATATATGTATTTGTCATTTCACTCAGTATTTCTAAACCAAAAGAATCAGATGAGGTTTTGAAGGAAGTGAGAGACAAACTGAAGACCTACCCATTTAGCTTCAAAGGGGCCACCATCTTAAGTGGACAAGAAGTGGAAGAAGGCTTATGGATGGGTCACAGTCAACTACCTGCTTGAGAAATTTACTAAGGTAAGGGCTGAAGTAATAAATATTCCAGAGACTAATTTATAGATAATGCCATTTGATTTTATGTACACTCTCTCTTTCTTGTCCTTTATTTCTCTAGTATAGTTTTGTGGGTCAATGGCTGTCTCCAGGCAGAGACACGGTTGGTGCTCTGGACTTTGGTGGAGCTTCAACTCAGATCACCTTTGAAACAAAACAGACGGTGGAGAACAAGGACAATCTGATGAAACTGCGGCTGTACGGACGAGACTATCAGATTTACACTCAGAGCTTTCTGTGTTATGGGAGAGACCAGGTGTTACTCAGACTGCTGGCACTTCTGATGAAGGTTAAGTGCAAACCTTTCATCTAAACGATCATCAGACAAGCTGATTAACTGGTTTGATAGTACTTAGAGAGTAATTTCTGATGTTTTCTTTTTCTTTATGTGTCTTATAGACTCAGGGTTCAGACCGCTCCATAGTTCACCCCTGCTATCCTGCGAGTCACAGTGACTCCATAAAGCTGAGCAGTGTGTTTGATACTCCATGCAATAAAAGACAAACTCCCTATAAACCTGATGATGACCTGCAAATCAAAGGCACAGGAAACTACGATCAATGCCTTGGAAATGTTTCTCGTCTCTTCTCTTTTAAACAAATGTTCTTATTCCAGATGCTCCTTTGATGGAGTCTTCCAGCCCAACATTACTGGAAACTTTATGGTATGAGTTTCTAGAGTGCTTAATATGGAACATTTAAACATTTTCATGCATTCAGTTGCACTGTATTGTTTAAAATATGCTCTTTAATGACTTAAAATACACAGATCCATGAAAAAATAACTAAACCAAATCACTTTCAGTTCCGTTAAAGTTTGCTCCTGCATTCTTCCTCTCATGCAGACGAAACATTGTACTAAAATATATTTCTGTCAAGCGAGCCGATTCGTTTTAGTAAATCAAAAACATGCAACAAATGTAAACTGATTCCCTAATGAATGACTCTAATGAGTCAGTTGTTTTTAGCGAATCACAAACAGCACAGCTGTATTTCGATTCTCTAACGAATTACTAATTCGTCAATCCTTCTTAGTGAATCAAACACTGCAAACTGTTAAATGCTTTAAATCCCTAGATACACTACATTGTCATTAGATTAAAAATCCCTTTTATGTGTTTGTTGTGATAATCTTTTCGTCTAACCACTTTGTACATTTCATTAATAAGGCACAGTAGCTAAACTCTCTTTTTCTTTGGCGCAGGCGTTTTCTGCTTTTTTCTACACTCATTTGTTCCTCCAGAAAGCTGCAGGCATCACCATCACATCTCCAGCACATTTAGAGGATGCTGTCCGTGTTGTCTGCAACATGAGCTTTCAGGAGGTGAATCTAATTTCGAGCCCTGCAATTTTAAGATGAGTTTCTTATCAGTAATTGACAATAAAACATTCAAGAACATTCTACAACAATCGATTAGGAGAACGTGCATTTTTTCCTCTATGAAAAGATATTCAATATGTTCACTATGCATTGTTTGATTCAATCATTAACAACTGATTCGATATTTAAGCTGTTTTAGCTGTTTGTGAAATTCAATCCACCACTGTCAAGTGTTTTACCAGACTTGTCAGAGCTAGCAATTTCTAAGCCTAGTTTTTAATTAAACTTAAATGTGATGAAATTTTAAATATTCCCCCAGGCAATATCTCTTTTTAACTTCATCTCTCTCAGATGCAAAATAAGTTTCCTGATGAGGGGACCATTTGAGAGAATACTGTGCAGATTCCATCCTTCTGCAGGTGCTCCTGATAACTGGATATGGCTTCAGTGATCTCTCCTTCCCACACATCTCCTTTCAAGAGAAAGTAAGCCCTCAGGAAGAAAGCTCTATATGCAGTTTTAAACTATAGTTATCATATCCTGTCAAGCCAATTTCAACTTGTTACTTTGGTTTGCAGGCTGCAGACACTTCTGTCAGCTGGTCCCTTGGCTACATGCTAAGTTTAAGCAACTTGCTGCCTGCTGAAAATGTGTTTGTTAGAAAAACCCTGCGCCTAGATTCCTGGCGCGCAGCCCTCTTCCTCTTTTCAGCTCTTCTTATTGCGTCTATATTTTTTCTGCTGCAAATCTACCAAAAGAATGGCACTAAATTATGTCGTTGATCATTATGCACTAAAGATATTTTCTGTTGGGATAAGCAATAAGTAGGCTATATGCAGTATATGAAAAAGTATAAACTTTTGTATTGACTAAAAAAAAACAAAAAAAACGTGTCTTGTAATTCGCTGTAAAATTGATGTGGAATTCATGAAGATGTATGTTAAGTTTTAAACTGACATTAATATGTCTGACACTGTTTAATTTATTCAATGCACTTAAAGGGTTAGTTCACCCAAAAATGAAAATTAGTCCATAAATCACTCACCCTCAAGTCATCCTAGGTGTATATGACTTTCTTCTTTCAGACGATTCCAGTCGGAGTTATATTAAAAATTGTCTTTGACCTTTCAAGCTGTTTAATGGCACTCAGCGGGTGTTGCAGTGCATCAGTCCAAAAGAAGTGAAATAAAAAGCGCCCATCCATAAAAACAGTGTCTCACACGGCTCTGGGGGTTAACAAAGTCCTCCTGTAGCGAATCGATGCGTTTTTGTAAGCTTTGATAAAGAATATCTCTTTGGATTTGAGACTTTAGTCTTTACAACTTTACAGATCTTCTTTATGCACCAAGAGCTTGTAACACTCCAAAGAGAAAGGAAAACTTGAAATCACATCATATGACCCCTTTAAATTGCCTTGCACTTCCTCCACTTCTTAATGACTTTGGGGAGTGTGGAAATTTATAACCAGGAAATATTTCTTTTTTTTAGCCATCCACTGTTGCATAAACCTCTTAGTTTCTGATCCTCAATCCTGAACACAATCCTTGTTAATTGTTTATTATGAATTTTATTTTATTTTTAATTTCATATTTTATTTTATTTTGTCCAAGAGTCAGAATTTTATTAAACTGTATTTTATTAAACTGAATTTTTTTATAAATAAAGTGTATTATCGCAAAGGTCATGTTGAATTTTTCATTTAAATGATTTTTACAAGCAAAACATTTAAATCACAGATGTTCACCGTTTTGGAAACTCTAGAATCTTTTAATACTGGTTTTCAATGATGAGGGCATTTTAGTAGACACATGCAGCCTACAGCGCAATGCTAGAGAATTGTGGGCCCTTTAGCGCATGACAGGCTAGGAACATTCCTGAGGCGGAACTTATTACGATGGATCAGAAACAAGAGTCTGTTGACGAGGTTGCACAGTTAGGAATAGGAAGTGTGCGAACAATGCAAATCTAGCCAACATCTGTTGGATTTCTGCTGTCAATGCATTTGATTTCGTTTTGATAGTGCAGTTAAAATAGAGACAGCGACTCAAAATGTTTGCAGGGTTACCGGAGCTGGGAATATCCAATGGAGAAGATCTTAAAGAAACGCTGACTAACTGTACGGAACCCCTGAAAGCCATCGACCAGTTTCAGGTTAGCGCTTAATACACTTGGATATGTGTCTCTTTCTCTAAATTAAAACAGTCACAGTCTTCAAATGTCTTGCATTAGGCATTAAGAATTTCGCTCGCATGCAGCAGTCATCTTCATTGATTATAATGGGAGGGATCTAGTTTCTTGCCTCGCTTGCAGTGTGACTTGT